TAGGGTTCGACCTAGGTGCAGTCACAAAATCAAACAAACATCAAATTCCTCAAGTTACATTTTTATTTGAATTAGAATCAAAGGGTATTTCTTTCCCAAAAGAAAGATTGTAATTAATAGGCGTGTAGCCTAGAATGGGTCGAACTCGAATTAATAAAACCCTCTTCAGAAAACTGAACGAGGGTGAAATTGTGTCGAGTAAATTATTTGTTTACATATTATGTACAATTTTTGCTCAACACTAAGCCACTGGAAGAATGCGCGAGAACTGACAACTCCAGCAAAGCAATGTCACGGTCCAAATACTGCACAACTTGGTGCATGCTTGGCCTATCTGAAGAATCTGAATGAGAGCATAACAACCCAAGCTTCAACACCAGTTCCACTTCCTCAACTATGAATTCTGTGCTTAAGTTTCGATCTCTTGCCTCAAGAATACTGTTTTTCTTCCAACAAGAAAACACCCAGTTGACCAAAATCACATCCTGAGCTGGACCTTTTAGCTCTATTAGCATTTTTCCAGGCAACTTCAAGCAAGAATGCCCCGAAAGCAAACACATCAGTGTGTGTTGTGGCCCGGCCTGATCTTGTATGCTTTGGAGCTAGATACCCAAGTGTTCCTACAATATGAGTAGTTTGAAGGTCTGTTCCGTGATCATATAATCTTGCAAGGCCAAAATCTCCTAGCCTAGCATTCAGTTCCCCATCTAGTAATACATTACTTGCCTTGACATCTCTATGAACCACAACTTGCTCCCATTCTTCATGAAGATAAAACAACCCTGAAGCCACACCTCTGATGACTTTAAACCTTAGGCTCCAATTAAGAGTGGCCGCTGGTTGGTCATAGAGGTACTTGTCTAGGCTTCCGTTAGGCATGTAGTCATAGACCAAGAGAAGCTCTCATTTTCTTCTACAATATCCCAAGAGTTGTACTAAATTTCGATGACGGAGGCGGCCAATGCTCACAACTTCTGCCACAAACTCCTTCATTCCTTGCCTTGATTCATGTGAGACCTTCTTCACTGCGACCTCAGTTTTAGAGGCAGGTAATATGCCTCTATAAACCTTACCAAATCCCCCATTCCCAAAAGTTCCTTTTCCTTGAACCCTTTTGTAGCAACATATAATTCTTTATATTTAAACCTTTAAGGCCCATACTCAAGCTCCCAATCTTCAAGCAGCTCTGCAAACTTCCTCTTCCGTCTTATGGCAGAAATCATGCCAACAATTGGTACCAAAACCAAACTCAGAGACATCACAGGCACACCGATGGTCAAAAGTTTAGATACTTTTTTACCTCCTATCCTAGGCAGGTTGGGAAGTTGTGAGTGAACAAGTTCTTGAGCTTGCCCATTCATTTTAAAGCTTCAGCCCAAAACATAATGAGACGTAGGAAGAGAACCGGTGGATGATGAGAAGCCAACATACATGGTTTTGTGTAGGATTGGGGAAAGGTCATGCTTCAGAGATAAAAGTGGACCATGGGGTTTACCAGCACTGACTGGAGCCAACGTGACATTGATTTTCTTCTTGGTACCATCATATTCCACCCAAACTTGCATTACTTGACCACTAGTGAGGGCAAGTTCCAAAACCCACCATTGTTTTCAGCATAGTATCCTGCGGTAGCAGATTTCACAGAGTTCAAACCATTAATATCAATTCCTACATGATTGTTATCGATGTCATTGAACTCGATCTGCTTGATAGTGTCTAGCTCTACAGCAAAAATATGATTGGTGACATTGCCATTGTTGGTTGGATTGAAAAGGCCTAGGAAAGGGCTATGTAGAGCTTGGGGAATCCCTCTTTTCGGAGCAATGACGAAGGCCATTCCATGACCGCTCACAGTTGCAAGCAGCGACCTGATAGCGAACACAAATGTTGTAGAAAATGAGAAAGCATTGGTATCAGAATATGAGTTCTTGAAGGTGACTGGGTTAGGGTAGAAGGCATGGCCCTTTATCTCTTGAGAGTCATTCGTAAGCATCAAAAGACCGTTCGGTGTGAACTAGGCTACACCGTCTAAGCTAAGATATTCTGACTGGAAACCATTGTAGATGAAGCTAACATTTTGAGATACTGCTAGGGTTGCTTGTATGAGTATTACAAGCTTGAAAAACATGGCTGGCATTCTTAGTTCTCTCCAAAACCTCTAGGAACTTTGTTATAAGCAATGCAGCTTAGCTGAGCTGTCCCTTCATTGTCTCACCAATTAAATGTGATGTCTTTGTGTAGCAGAATAAAACATATCCCAAACTGTCCAGTGCCTACCACCGTATGCAACTTCTCAGCGCAAATTAATTCAGACTTTATATGTGATTGTGTAGGTGCAACCACCAGCCATGAGAAGGTAATTCTTCACCATACAATGTAGGACCAAGATACGACCCTAGACAGGAACAAGACTCCAAAAAGAAAGGAACAAGACTCTATTGACCATAAAAAAGAAAGGAACAAGACTCCATACTCATCTTATATAGTTACTATTGAAAGTCGTTCTCTTGATCACTAAGTGACTAAGGATTTATAGTCACTTATCCTTATATTTGATATTAATGATTGAAAACACAATTACTTATTCTACACTCTTGATATCAGATCAAAATATAACTGATGATGCATTTCTTAATCGCTAAATAAAAGTAACATTTTTGAATTACTGTCTCCATGATGATCAATTCCAAGCCAGTTACCATGGCAGTACAATTCCTTTACTTGTGTTAACGCAAGCAAAAAAGAAAAACCATTCTCTCAATTTTTCTTACTTTAATATTCATTTGTTTAAATGATTATCTATCAAAACATAAACAAACGAAGTGCCTAGATTTTGGAGAGACATGTGAGCAACTCACTACTAACTACATAGATATTGTCTCCCAGCTTGCAGGTTATCTCAAAAAAATCAAAATGTAATTTGAAATTGAACCACTCAAGTCACACTTATTTTTGACAATTTTCCGACGTAGAATTCTCGTATCCTCCCACAAAAAGTTGGAAATTTCCATGTAAATTGAAAAAATCGTCAAGTAATGTTACATTATCATCTAGATTCAGATCTCACAAAGAAATTAAGAGTTCATAAAAACTACAAGGACAGAGAGGAGCCTGCATGTAGAACAATATTTTCAGAGGAATTATAAGGTGATCTAGCGGAAGTAGTTGGAGGCGAATTACGAAACACACAGAAAAGCTGGCGTGTTGAAGATTGAAGAGTTCAATCCTTGTTTATTTATTTGTGTACATGACATGAGTCCACCTAGCATGGAATACAACTCCTCAAAGTCGATACAATCGATCATAAATGTACATTGCTAAAAGAGGGTAGAACTCCGCATATATGTAGACGATCACCATCTAAGCTTCGCCGGGAAATACTTGTCAATAAGAGATAAGTAATATGGCTTAACTTTTTGACATCAATTCGATCTTTGCTCTTGGTGCATAGGTCATATTGATTGAATATTTTGAAGCCACATGAAATTGTCTTCATCCTCCTTGTTCATCAGGTGTTTATATGTCCCTGCCTTATGCAAAGGATAAAACGAGTGATACCGGATGATGAACGAACCAGCCTGAGGCAGTGTTGCTCCATTCTCCTTGGCGACCAAGTACATATAGTCCTCGTGCCGCCATGACATGGTCACAGTTTCGAGTCCACACCCTTGTGAGTAGATTCCACATTTGGTGTTGTAGGAAGGATTGTTGTAGTCGAGTTTGTCCTTGAAATACTTGCGGTGAACAATGGAATCATCAAAAGCACATCCTAAAGGATGTGTCTCCAACAACAACCCATTGGGGAAGTCCTCCGGATTGTGGAAGAAGAAGCACTTTTCCAAGGTCATGAATTTGAGCAGTCAAGTGTAACCAATCTTCACTAGGGTAGTCTTTCCGAATTGATTCAGCAGTTTGCAACAAGTGCTCAATTTGGGTTTCATCCAAGTCAGGGTCACTGTCATCCACAACCTCGTTCAGAAGCTCACAACATTTCCATACGCTCATTTTGAATCTATTCAACTTTTTGTACTTCTCCCTCATCCTCTTCACGAAATTGTACATTTGATTAACGGTTACACCTGCAGAATTCCTTCATGTTTTTCTGCCTTTCGCTTTCTGCATTGTAATCTCTAAATGACCGGCCAAACGAATTAATTTCAGGGGCAACGAATGCATCGCTTGATGCGGCAGTTTCTTCATTGGTCCCAGAAGAAAGCTTATGGTTCTCCACTTGTGACACAAGCTCAGGCTGCTCAGTAGAGAGAGTCATCCTTGCCTCCAAAACTCAAAGCAATGTATGATTTTAAGCAAATAAAAACAATAGAAGCAGTAGCAGATAGTTAATTAGGAAGGTAGCAGAGGCTGTTGGTTGTTTATGCCACACCACATTGCGAAAGTGGGTGTTACAGTCACATTAAAAAGTTCTTTGGATGATAAAAATATCAATTTTATCCAATTAGTCCCAAAAAAAAAGTTCAAATAGTGTTGAAAGATTTAAGAGCTGTCATTGAAACAAAGTGATTAAAATCGAAGTAAAAGCATACATATATACACAAAATAGAGTACTACCATGAGTCATATTTAGCCTATGCTTGAAAAAAAAAAAAAAAAAAAGAGTAAGATTTACCCACTTTTAGATATCATATTCGAAGTTCTTTTTTGACATTTTTGGGGTGTGAGATCAACAGCCTAACTTCTGCGATGTAAATGTGCTTCATGGAGAAATACATGTCACATGCTTTTTCAAGAAGTACTTAGACTTTAAAAAAAAAAAAAAGACCTATGAGTAGAAGTACTTCTTACAAAAGTAGTCCCAAACTAGCTTGTAATTGTTTGCGCACCTTTTTTTTTTCGGGTTTTGTTTTGGCCCCTTTGAGTACATTAGTTTCGTTACCTTTTATTAGCTTTGTGTTTGGTGTCTGAGTTGTATTGTTTGAATATTTGTAATGTAATTTGTTATCTTAGTGAAAAAATGGAACGTTGATTTTAGTCCTTTTATCATATACAAATCTTTGAATTTGTTTCTCTCCTTGCAATGCAAGTTAAGTGCAGTAGATTATATCCCTAAAAGAATATCATGGTACTTATAATTTTCCGTAACTTACTTTTACCCAACCAACATACAGATTGTTCCTGCATTACTTTTATATAACTAACAAGATACAAGACTAATAGGTTACATGTAACATTAAGGGCCGCAAATTATTCGCTATGAATTCCAGTTCAAGAGAGAAAACGAAACCATTATTGCTCGGATTCAGCGTCCACCTGAGAGTAACGTCGGCTCTGGAACATATGAAGTTGCCTTACTCGTTGACGACGGATATGACTTTACAAAATCATCGAAACCTTCATGGTGCGCAAATGTTAAGTCTCTGGTAGAAAGACCATCAAGTGACTGTTGTGCTAGGATAGCACCAAACCCTTGTGGAACCAACTCAAGCTAACCCACAGGAAATATATCAAATAAAATGCAAGAACAAAATATTAAAGACACCAAGATTTTAACGAGGTTCCTCAACAGTCAGTGTAACTGGAGTACGTCCTCGGAGCAGTAGGAGCTCACCCAAGAATCCACTATCAACCAAATGGGAGTTTACAAAGTGTTGGCAATCTCACAACCCAAATAACCCAATAACTCACACTCCAAAGAAACAAATAGAGAAAGAAATATAGTGATTAATTTCTTCTCTATACAAAGCTCAAAGCTATTACAACAATAACACTTTGATGGAGTGAGAATTATCCAATGAAAGGAACAACAAACCCCTTCTCTGAAAATGGTACTGTAGCAGTACCTTCTTTCTCTCCCTCTCTTCTCTTCGGCTCTCTCAATTTTCTGCACTCTATTTTCTTCTCTTCTATCCCACTCTTACTTCTCATTACAACCAAAACTTATTATTCAAAACCTCAACCGTGACTTCCCATGGACCAAGACAAAAAACCTTTTCCCTATTTTCCTCCCCAAAACAAGGAAAGGTGTTGTCCACCTTTGGTTTGTTTAATCTAAAGTATATGGCCACTTGGCCACATAATCCAACAATCTCCACCTTGGCCAAGTTCCGAAAACGCCATGATAAGCCAACCAACACAATTAGCACACAACATCACTCCCAAACACTAGCAAGAGAACAACTCATGCTGAGCCAAATGCTCCAAAACTCCTACTACTCAACGCCTTCTTTATATAGGCAAAATGTGAGCCAAGTTCAAACAGTGAACAAACTTGGCTACACCAACAACCTTAGTCAACATATCAGCGGGGTTGTCTTTAGTTGGAATCTTCTGGAGAATGATTTCCCCTTCACCAACAATTTCACGAACAAAGTGATAACGCACATCTATGTGCTTGGTCCTCGCATGATGAACCTGATACTTAGCCAAATAAATGGCACTCTGACTATCACAATGTACCTCCACCTGCTTCTGATCAACCCCCAAATCTCTAATAAGCCCATGTATCCAAATGGCCTCCTTTATAGCTTCAGCAACTGCCATATATTCAGCCTCTGTAGTAGACAAGGCAACAGACGACTGCAAAATGGACCTCCAACAAACTGGCCCTTTAGCCATAGTAAACACATAGCCTGTAGTAGACTTCCTTCCATCCAGATCACCTGCATAATCTGAATCAACATAACCAACTGCAAAATGACCAATACCAGAGTCATCCCTCTCAAAGCATAAACCAACATCTCGAGTACCATGGAGATACCTCAATATCCACTTAGCTGCTTGCCAATGCTCTTTACCTGGATTATGCATATATCGACTCACCATGCCAACTGCATGAGCAATATCCGGTCTAGAGCATACCATTGCATACATCAAACTACCAACCAAATTTGCATATGGTATATTTTTCATTTGCAGTTTCTCTTTATCGGTTTTAGGACATTGTAGAGAACTCAATTTAAAATGAGGAGCCAAAGGGGTACTAACCGGTTTGGTTGAATCATGAACTCCAAACTTCCGAATCAACTTCTCAAGGTATTGTTTTTGATTCAAACTGACGAAACCCTTTGCTCTATCTCTAGTGATCTCCATGCCAAGGATCTTCTTCGCTTCACCAAGATCCTTCATCTCAAACTCATTCTTCATTTGCTTCTTCAATTTCTCAATCTCTTCGACATTCTTTGAGGCAATCAACATATCATCAACATATATCAATAAATAAATGAAAGACCCATCTTGCAACTTCTTGAAGTACACACAATGATCATATTGACTTCTAGAATAATTTTGGCCTCTCATAAATTTATCAAACCTCAAATACCATTGCCTTGGAGATTGCTTCAAACCATAAAGTGATTTCTTCAATTTGCAAAACAAATTCTCCTTCCCTTTCACTATATACCCATCTGGTTGACACATATAAATCTCTTCATTCAAATCACCATGTAGGAAAGCCGTTTTTACATCAAGTTGCACAAGCTCAAGATCATACTGTGCAACAAGAGCTAACATAATGCGAATTGAGGAGTGCTTCACAACCGGAGAAAAGATTTCATTGTAGTCAATGCCCTCCTTTTGTGCATACCCTTTAGCAACTAATCTTGCTTTAAATCTCACATTGCTTTTCTCATCAGCATCTTCCTTCTTGGCATACACCCATTTGCAACCAATAGCTTTCTTGCCCTTAGGCAATTTAGCTAACTCCCAAGTCTTGTTCTTCAAGAGAGAATTCATCTCATCACCCATGGCATTGCACCACCTATTCTTCTCCTCACTCTCAATAGCTTCCTCAAAATTGGATGGAATCTCTTCAGTGATAATAGGAAGAGCAAAAGCAACATAATCACTATACCGAGCTGGCTTAGTAATTTGTCTCTTTCCTCTGTTCTTGGCAATAGACTCTTGAGGTGAAACTTGCTCTTCAACTTGAATAGAATCTTCAAGTTCAACTTCTTCAACATCCTCATGGTCTCCAACTTCTTCACTTGTAGTGGCTTCGACATCAGCGGAAATAGGATTTGAAGTACCAGAGGCAACTTTCTCAAGCTCCACCTGTTGGACATCTTTCACAATTTTCTCAGAGTCTTTGAACATACTTTCTTCATCAAATGTCACATCTCTGCTGATTACAAGTTTTTTCATCTCTGGGCACCACAACCTGTAACCTTTGACACCCACTACTAAAACCAAGAAAGATAGCCTTTTTGGCTCTAGGATCAAGTTTATTTTCAGTCACATGAAAATAAGCAGGTGAACCAAAAATACGGATATAGTCATAATCAGAAGAAGATTTTCCAGTCCATACCTCCATTGGTGTCTTACCCTGAATAGCAGCTGAGGGTAACCGGTTGATGATGTGACATGCATAATTAACTGCTTCTGCCCAAAATGACTTGCTCAAACCCGACTGAGACAACATACATCTAACCTTCTCAAGCAAGGTTCGATTCAATCTTTCTGCAACTCCATTTTGTTGTGGAGTTCCCCGAATACTGAAATGTCTCACAATTCCTTCCTCTTTGCAAACTTTAAAGAAAGGATCGGATGTGTATTCACCACCATTATCCGATCTCAAAATCTTAATCTTTCTCCCAGTCTGGTTCTCAACCATTTTCTTCCAACCCAAGAAAATGTTTAACACCTCACTCTTGTGCTTCATAGTGTAGACCCAAGACCTTCTTGAATAATCATCAACAAAGGTCACGAACCAATGTCTACCACTCAAAGAGGGAGTCTTTGTAGGACCCCAAACATCTGAATGCACATAATCAAGAATGCCCTTCGTCTGATGTACAGCAGTACCAAACTTCACTCTAGTTTGCTTCCCCAAGACACAATGCTCGCAGAAATCAAGCTTACAAGTCGTGGCACCTTTTAGAAGACCTTTTTTCACAAGCCCTTGTAGAGCTTTCTCACCGGCATGGCCTAATCTCACATGCCACAATCTAGTAGTATCTGAATCAGATGTGCCCATATTTTCAGAGACTACAGATGCTTCACCTGTCACAGTGCTTCCCTGCAATAAATACAAATGGCCACATCTAGGAGCTTTCATCACAACAAGTGCACCATAAGTAACTTTCAATGTCTGTCCATCTGAATGAAACCTGAAACCCTTGGATTCCAAAGTACCCAAAGAAATAAGATTTTTCTTCAAATTCGGTACATACCGAACACCTGTCAACTCTTTAACCATGCCATCATGCAACTTCAAACGAACTGTACCAATCCCTTTTGTTGTGCAAGGATTGTCATCTCCCATGAACACAACGCCACCATCAAACTCTTTCAAGCTTGAAAACCAATCCTTGTGAGGAGTCATATGATGAGTACAACCCGTATCCAACACCCACTTAGTAGCACAATCAAATGATGAAGAAGTGGTTAAAGCAAAATCAGAAAAATCTGTTTCAACCTCAGCAACATTAGCTTCAGAACTTTCTTTGCCTTTGGTCTTCAATTTAGGACAATCTTTCTTCCAATGGCCCTTATTACGACAAAATGCACATTCATCCCTTTCCAAAGGTTTTCTACCTTTAGAGTTTCCTCTAGGTCGAGACTGTGATTTTTTTCTGCTAGAAGATGACCTCCTCTCCGATGATCTACCTCTAACAAATAAAGCTTCAGATGTACTATCATGATTTTTATCTCTATGCCTCATTTCATAATTCATCAAGGCATTTGACACATCTTCAAATTTCACAGTTTCTTTACCATGCATAATAGTGGTAACAAAATGCTCGTAAGAGTCCGGCAAGGAATTCAACAATATTAAGGCCTTATCTTCATCCTTAATATCCTCATCTAAATTTAACAAGTCGGCAATCAACTTATTAAAAGCATCAAGGTGTCTAATCATTTTTGTACCTTCTTTGTATTGGAAGCGGTAGAGTTTTTTCTTCAAGTGTAGCCGGTTCTCTGCACTCTTCGTCATATACTTGTCTTCCAATTTTTGCCACAACACACTTGCTACCGTCTCCCGCATCACAAAATACTTCTGAGTTTTTGCAAGGCACAACCGAATTGAAGAGCAAGCCCACAAATTTAATTTCTCCCATTCCGGCTTCGACATAGCTTCCGGCTTCTCTCCCAAAGCGGCAAGTAGATCTTGTTGAGCCAACACATCTTTGACCTCACATTGCCACATCCCGAAGTTGTTTGTGCCATCAAACTTTTCCACTTCGAACTTTGCATTTTGCACCGTAGTTCTTGCAAACCCGGAGGTGCTTCCAAAAGGATTCTCATCTTGCCCGTCTGACATCTTTGGCAACTAGACAGTACCCAAGAGCAACCAGTGCTCTGATACCAATTGTTGTGCTAGGATAGCACCAAACCCTTGTGGAACCAACTCAAGCTAACCCACAGGAAATATATCAAATAAAATGCAAGAACAAAATATTAAAGACACCAAGATTTTAACGAGGTTCCTCAACAGTCAGTGTAACTGGAGTACGTCCTCGGAGCAGTAGGAGCTCACCCAAGAATCCACTATCAACCAAATGGGAGTTTACAAAGTGTTGGCAATCTCACAACCCAAATAACCCAATAACTCACACTCCAAAGAAACAAATAGAGAAAGAAATATAGTGATTAATTTCTTCTCTATACAAAGCTCAAAGCTATTACAACAATAACACTTTGATGGAGTGAGAATTATCCAATGAAAGGAACAACAACCCCTTCTCTGAAAATGGTACTGTAGCAGTACCTTCTTCTCTCCCTCTCTTCTCTTCGGCTCTCTCAATTTTCTGCACTCTATTTTCTTCTCTTCTATCCCACTCTTACTTCTCATTACAACCAAAACTTATTATTCAAAACCTCAACCGTGACTTCCCATGGACCAAGACAAAAAACCTTTTCCCTATTTTCCTCCCCAAAACAAGGAAAGGTGTTGTCCACCTTTGGTTTGTTTAATCTAAAGTATATGGCCACTTGGCCACATAATCCAACAGTGACAACTCCGGCAAAGGAATGTCACCCTCCAAATACTGCACAACTTGGCGCATGCTTGGCCTGGCTGAAGGAACCGAATGAGAGCATAAAAGCCCGAGCTTGAATACCAATTCCACTTCCTCAACTATAAATTCTGTACCCAAGTTTGGATCTCTTGCCTCAAGTATATTACCTCTCTTCCAACAAGAAAACACCCAATCAACCAGAATTATCTCTCCATCTTGACCTTGTGTCCCTATTGGCCTTCTTCCACAGGCAACTTCAAGCAAAAATGCACCGAAAGAAAACACATCAGCTTGTGTTGTAGCCTTGCCTGACCTTGTATGCTCTGGAGCTAGATACCCGAGTGTTCCAACTACACGAGTAGTCTGAGGGTCCTTTCCATGGTCATATAATCTTGCAAGCCCAAAATCTCCTAATCTACCATTCAATTCCTCATCAAGTAAAACATTACTGGCCTTCACGTCTCTGTGAACCACAACTTGTTCCCATCCTTCGTGAAGATAAAACAACCCCAAAGCGACGCCTCTGATGACTCTAAACCTCTGCCTCCAATTGAGAGTGACCACTGGTTGGTCAAAGAGGTATTTGTCCAGGCTCCCGTTAGGCATGTAATCATAGACCAAAAGCAGCTCCCCTTTTCTTCTGCAATACCCCAAGAGTGGTACTAAATTCCGATGGCGAAGCCTGCCGATGCTAGCAATTTCTGCAACAAACTCCTTCATCCCCTGTCTTGAATCATGTGAGACCCTCTTTACAGCAATCTCAGTTTTAGAGGAAGGTAATATGCCTCTATAGACCTTACCAAATCCCCCAGTTCCCAAAAGCTCTTTTTCCTTGAACCCTTTTGTGGCTATATATAACTCTTTGTATTTAAACCTTTGAGGACCATATTCCAGCTCCCAATCTTCAAGAATCTCTGCAAACTTCTTCCTCCGTCTTATGCCATAAATTAGACCTGAAATCGCTAGAAACAGTAAACTCACAGACATCACAGGCACGCCAATGGCCACAAGATTAGATCTTTTTTTACCTCCTATCCGGGGCAGCTTAGGAAGTTGTGAGAGAACAATTTCACGAGCCTGGGCATTCGTTGCAAAGCTCCATCCTAGAACATAATGAGAACTGAGGAACGAGCCAGTGGATGCGGAGAAGCCAACATACATAGTCTTGTTAAGGACCATAGAAAGGTCGCGCTTCAAAGACAATAGTGGAATTTGGGGTTTATCAACAACGATTGGAGCCAAAGTGACATCGATTTTCTTCTTGGCGCCATCATATTCCACCCAAACTTGCATTGGTTGACCGCTACTGAGGGTCAAGTTCCGGAACCCCACATTGTTCTGAGCATAATATCCTGCCGGAGCTGATTTCTGTGAGCGCAAACCATTAATATCAATCCCAACATGGTTGTTGTTGATGTCACCTAATTCGTTATTCTGTATGGTATCAAGCTCTACAGCAAAAACACAATTGGTTTCATTGCTGTTGTTGGTGTTATTGCAAATGCCCAGGTACTGGGGCTGAAAAGCTCGAGGAATCCTCCTTGTTGGAGAAATGACGAAGGCCATTCCATGACCGCTCAGATTTGCATACACCGATCTGATAGCGAACACAAATGTCGTAGAAAATGAGAAAGCATTGGTATCAGAGTATGAGTTCTTGAAGGTGACTGGGTTAGGGTAGAAGGCATGGCTATTGTCTTGAGAGTCATTTGTAAGCATTAGAAGACCGTTGGGTGTGAACTGGGCTACACCGTCTAAGCTAAGATTTTCTGACCGGAAACCATTGTAGATGAAGGTAACATTTTGAGCTGCTGCTAGGGTTGCTTGTATGAGTATTACAAGCTTGAAAAACTTGTCTGCCATTCTTAGTTCTCTCCAAAATCTCTGCGAACTTTCTTATAAGCAATGCAACTTAGCTGAGCTGTCTCTTAATTGTCTCATTAATTAAATTAAGGGGTTTTTGAACATTAGTCCTTGCAAAAGATTAAAATTTAAAAAAAACCTGATGCTAGATTAAATATTCAATTTAATCCCATGAGTGTACTTTTATCAAAATTTACATTCAATTTTTCTTATTTAATGTGTATTTTTATTTAATCTCTCCATATTAAATTTTAATTTTATTAATATGCACATATTTAATTTTTTTAATTAGAAATGAACGTAAATGAGAAAATATTAAAAAAATTTGTGATACAAAAATATATAGATACATAAGTGTACAGAATTGATTGTGCCAAAATATATATAATTGACTTTTTTGTACCAAAATATTTGTACCTACATGATTGTACTGAAATATATTATAATGAACCTAAATGTATGTACTGAAATGTATTATATTGAATTAATGTACCTAAATGTCAATACCGAAATGTATATACCAAAATGTAGGAACCTAAATGTCAATACCGAAAATGTATGTACCTAAATATCAATACCAAAATGTATGTACCTAAATGTATTTACCGAAATAATAATTGAATTAATGTACCTAAAAGTCAATACTCAAATGTGTGTATCAAAGTGTACGTAACGAAATGCATTATATTGATCAAAATGCATTATATTGAATCAATGTAACTACATGTTTGTACCGATAGATATACCAAAATATTCAAATGTATTAATGTACCTAAATGAAGAACATACAAAATTGTTATCGGAATATATATTATAAAAAATTTAGTCGCCTAAATGTAGACATTAAAATATATTATGATGAATGAAATAAAAATTAAATTTTAATGTAATTAATGCATTAAAATAAAAATAAAAAGATAAAATAAAACATCAACATACAACTAATAAATGATATAATTAAATGTGCTAGGGACTAAAATTGAATTTTAATCTTACATATGGTTATAATCTAAAACTCATCTTTTTTAGGGATTAAAATGAAGTTTTCTATTAAATTAACTTCAGGCTGTTCAGTGCCTGCCACCTTACGCAACTTCTCAGCTCAAATTAATTTCAGGCTTTATATGTGATTGTGATGGTGCAACCTCCAGCTATGAGAAAGTTAGTTCTTCACCATACAACGTAGGAACAAGACTCCATTCATCATAAAAAGAAAGGGAAATGACGCAGGAAGAGCCAATGGATCTAGGGAAGAAGGATGGAGATAGTTGCCTTAGAATCACTCAATCAGGGGCCACAAATTCGCTCGATGTCGCTAATCGTGAATTCACTCAACACAACTAAGTCTAACACTTGATTTAAGAGGAAAAACTCACTTTCTTCTTAGATAGATTATAATTCACTAAATTGATTTCTTTTTTAGTACACATAAGGAACCCTTTAAATAGAGAGTGCAATAATTGATAGGATCAATATTAATACTAAAGATTATAGTTTCTAGACATTTAATTAAAACATGGCTTTGAAAGATGAAAGGCCACCAACAACATGTTTAATACATACACCATACTAATTATTACGGGATACATCATAATCCTCTTCTCAGAAAGAACTCGTCCTCGAGTTCAAATCCTTTCACTACAAGAAAATTGCGCACAAAAAATTAAATGTGCCCTAAGAGGTTTAAGGACACCAATATATGTGTCATATAACAATAGCAACGGTATAGTGACTAAATTATTATATGTGCCCTCTATGGGTGTGCTCTTTGGTCACTGACAATCAGCACAATTTTGAAATTGTGCAATAGGTCCTACATAAAAAATAAAAAAGTAAAAATTTGGAATAAGAAAAATCCAAAATTTTCATAAAATCGAAATGACAAATGCAATATGGCTATTTGGTGGATTAAACAACCAATACTGACAATAAAATTTCTAATTCCTCACAATAAATCTTCATCAGGAGATTTTCGGCCAATTGTCAAAATGATCTTCCAATTCTATTGAAGTTTGCCTTCAAATAGTTTTTCCCCATCCTCCTACACAACAACATTAGTAACAGTCAATAATTTGATGATGAGAGTAATGTAAAACAAGATAATCTTAATACATAAGAATAGACACCTCCAACAGTATGCAATTGAAATGAAAGTTTTTCCACCATACCGACATCACCGTACATTAAAATTCTGGACGTTCTATGGTCAAGTAAAGTACTTCAGAATAAGATAAAGAGAAGTAAGATTCACAAATCTTGGAATACATAATAAAAAGGCCAAGACAAAATTGCACTGTCCCCATTGAAACCTACAATGACATTCAAAGGTAACATTTGGATTAAAGACAACATTCAATACCTTCTCGAGTTTAACTAATTTAAAGTGACAAATATATGTAATTCCTCACGGATTCCAAGACTACATTCAAAGTTTAATCAAACATAATAATCCTATTGCTTTGGCATTTTATTCCAACTAATTTAAGGGAAAGAAATCTAGTCACTTTGCAAATGCCATATGAAACATACCAAATGAGTTTAGATTGCTACTCCGTACACTTCACATACAAATAGATTCCAAATCCAGTCCAAATTGACCTGTGGCAACTGTGGTTCCTTTGATCCCGAAGTAACAACTATGAGGTGTCAGGCCAAGGTTAATACCAGGCCGTAAACATGCATACAAACATAGACCATAAGCTCTGTTTCCTTAAACCCTTTAGTGGCTATATATAACTCTTTGTATTTACACTTTTGAGGACCATATTGCAGCTCCCTATCTTCAAGAAGCTCTGCAAACTTCTTCCTCCGTCTTATGCCATAAATTAGACCTGAAATCGCTAGCAACACTAAACTCACTGGGATTGATAGCTTGTTGAAAGTTTTCTGGTTTTTAATTAATTGGGGTTTTTTTGTGCTTATTGTAAGGCATATGATGCATGGGTAAGTTAGTCTTTTAATCTTTAGGTTCCGTTCCGTTTCGTCCTTCGCATACCAAACACAGAACGGAACAACCGTTCCGTTCCGTCCTGCACGTACCAAACATGGCACAGAACCTTTGTCCCGTCGTGTCCCATCCTGTCCCGTCGCATCCGGTCCTGTCTTGTCTCATCCCGTCTGTGTACGAAATGCTACCCTAACATCACAGGCACGCCAATGGCCACAAGATTAGATCTTTTTTTACCTCCAGTCTGGGGCAGCTTAGGAAGTTGTGTGAGAACAATTTCTTGAGCCTGTGGATGAGGAGATGCCAACATACAGTCTGACCATTCATTGCAAAGCTCCATCCTAGAACATAATGAGAAGTGAGGAGTGAGCCAGTGGATGAGGATATGCCAACATACATAATCTTGTTAAAGACCATGGAAAGGTCGCGCTTCAAAGGCAAGAGTGGAATGTGGGGTTTATCAACAACGATTGGAGCGAAAGTGACATCGATTTTCTTCTTGGCGCCATCATATTCCACCCAAACTTGCATTGGTTGACCGCTAAGGAGGGTCAAGAGAAGAGAATGCTTTGAATTGTTATATTATTCTTCTCAATTTGAGGTATAATATACAATCCTAGAGCTGCCATTATAAGGAAAGGACAATTACAATAATTACAATTCCATTACAAGGGATTAACCGTAACTAGGGAATCCTAAATTGTAGGAAACTATACATGAGTCAACACTCCCCCTCAAGTTTGTGCATATAAATTACATGTGCCCAACTTGCCTACAAACTTAGAGAGCTTTTCACTTGAAACTACTTTGGTGAGAATGTCAGCTACTTGATCTTCTGTTCTGATCGGACGAACTTCAATTATTTTTCCTTCTATTTTTTCTTTAATAAAGAACATGTCAACCTCTACATGCTTGGTCTTATCATGTTGTACCGGATTGTGAGCAATATCATGAGCATCCTTATTGTCACAAAACAACTTCATCGACTTTATATGCAGACACACTGGTTTCTTTCAATAGGTCAATAATATACTTTTTCTTTGTGATAAAAAGATTCCTGACTTACACCTTGACACCTCAATTCCGAGAAAATATTTTGAGAAACCCAAGATTCTTCATTTCAAATTCGGTAGATAAATATTTATGCAAAGCTGCATTGATCCTATATTATTATTATTATTATTATTATTATTATTATTATTATTATTATTTAAAAAGAGTTTAATTTTACATATTTGTATGTGTTTTTGAGTTAATAGGATCTTATTGAAAAAGACGACGTGGCATCGAAACAACCTTATAGTTATTAGTACCTTAGTTTAACTCAACATATCTATTTACATTACAGTATGTTTTGACGAAGAAATTTAAAATTATTAAGGAATTTTAAAATGACAGAATTTTATTTTTTAGAATTTGTGAATTTTTTTGTTTGGTTAGCCTAAAAGAACAATGGAATTGAAAACGGAATTTGTTATTTTTAAGTTTTCAATCATAGAAATTGGGAAATGACACCTATTTACATGAAATTTAAACTTGGGAATTGGAGGTCCCAAATTCCAAGTTTTTTTCCACATGAAAATTCTAAATTTCTATGTTTATGAATCTAAACAAGAGAATTGGTGCATATCAATTTACAAATTTTAACTTTTATCTAAATTCCAAGTTTATTTCCCTCATCCAAATATAGTGTAACAGTTTATATATTAAATCCCTTGAAAAACTTCCTAAAGACTTCTATAATTCAGTTGAGGTGTTGTGGCAATATATAGTGACTATAGACTTCCCCCTTAGTATTTTGGTGATGAATATATATATATATATATATATATAAATGGGTGCAAAGCGACTATCTACTGATGATGGTAGAAATTATAAGGACAACAATCAAGACTACAGTCATTATGGTTGTTGGGAGTGAAAATATCATACCAAATGTTATAAACAAATAAGAAGATGATGAATGATCGATCAGTATTTACCTTGAATTTGAGATACTCAATGAATTGACTGTGAGTAAGAATTTTATGCCATTCAAAATCAGT